GCCCTGCCCCAAACACGCCTCCCTCAGTTTATCACAGGGTGCTCTCCTACTAATCCTACTAGTTACAATGCATATGCCACTTTTTAAAAGACAAAATACCTCTGACCTTGTTGAAAGTAGCTATCTCCTCCTGCTTACAATACCATTTTCTTTCCCTTTATACTACTTTATCCACTCTAATATTATCATATTCTTGATCACTATTTACTATCTACTTCCTCCCCCAGACTGAGTGAAAGCTCAGGGAAGGATAGCACCTGTCTTGTTTACCACTGTCACCCCAGCACCCAGAAGAGAACTTGGCACATAATAGGAATTCTTTATTATGTACTGAACAACTATACACACTAAATGCTGCAAATGAATTAATCAGCTTATACAATGAAATATTGACTGAGTTGTAAATTGGAAATAATTCTTATATTTAAGTAGATTTTCTCAACCCTTTCAAGGAAAATATCTACTCTCCACACACACAGATTAGATATTTGCTATAGGTGCCAGAGGCTTCAGATTTCTCTAGTATTCTTTTTTTTTTTTTTTTTTAATCTCTCCTATGGACTTTGGGCTTTCCTATGTACTCCTCCTCAGAGAGAACTGCATCATGTAGCTCTTTCAATTGCAATCCACTGTTATTATGCTGCAGGGCTGTTGGTATGGTGATAAGGTAGGAGAGAGGGGAAGCCTTCTATTATAATTAAAACTCAATCTTGTAATGGACCTGTGTCCCTGAGCTTGAACCTTCAAACGTGTTTCTTAGTTTCTGCACCTCCTCCGTGACACAGACAGGAAAGCTGGTGGAGACTGACGTGAGACTAGTGTCCTTTCCTCAGGTTGAGAAAAGCTCTGGTAAAGTCTTTCTTCCTGGAGAGGGGAGATTTGTTACGGAGGAAGTGGCTCTGGGTATGCTTCACTAGGATTACTCTATGGCCATGAGAGCACCTTCCTCAATTCTTCATTAGGAGAAACTGGTGGGGTTCCTGGAGGTAAAATGCATGAATTGGGGGGCATCCCTAAGACTGTGACTCCCAAGAGGTTCTTATCTTCATGCTGGTTCACACTCAGCACCCAGCAATTCCTCAAAATTATTAAGCATTCCTACAAGGCTATGATTTCAGCAGAGCTTCCAGTTCCAGGTAAGCAGGCTTCAGCAGTGATTCTCTGGATTCATGTTTCTCCTAATTTTGAGATAGCAGTTTGCCATGCAAATTCACCTCTCTGATGGGTCCAAGAAAAGTCATTGGTTTTCAAGTTGTCCAAATTTTTCTTGTTGTAAGACAGAAGTGACGGTTTCTACACTCTTTAAATGTTAGAGCTGAAACTAGAAGTCCAAACATTCCTAAGAGTTACCCCCATTGACTTCACCTTCTACAATTTCTAGAAAATTCCCCTATGAGAAATTATGCCTCAGTGGAGAAAGAAGAAACTATTGTTTATATTGAGAAGAGATTATACAAAATTAAGCCCTGAGGAAAAAAAACTCAGATTCCAAATTCTACCCTCAAAATAACTGAACAGTCTGTTAGACTAACACTGCATTTTTTTCCTTATGTATGCTTGATTTAAAGACTTAGCAAATCATCATTCAAGTTTAAATATTTATTTTTCCTTAATCCATTTCAGGTGAGATAAGGAACAAGATGATTCTGTCTGATTTTGAACTTCAGGGACAATGCTTCATAATTGGTTATGATGGAGACCTAAAATGTATTCTTGATTAGAGTTCATAGTGGAAGGCAAAGTGATCAGTAATTTACAATCTATATGATTTTGGTTAAATTGGGAACAATTATAACTACTTTGCTGCATATTAAAATAATTAAATTAACTAAGTAAGAAACATGATCATGGGCTAGCAATACAAAATTATCACATGTGAGCTAATGTATAAATATTAGCAGGTCCTATGTAGTCATGAGATACTGAATACAGAATCTCCCTTAAAATCCTGCTGTTTGAATTCTGAACTATGGGGAGATGAGAAGAGAATACCCGTTTCAGCCAACCTTAAGAAAGAAAGTACAGAATAAAACACCAAAGGAAAAAAACCCAACATGTGCAATTTCTCATCAGTACTCTCCTAAATCTAAATACCTCTTCCCTAGCTTCCACAACCGTCTGACCAAATTGTAACTTATTTAAGTTCAAATCAACATTTTCAAAGAGCCTAGTTATTACTGATACAAAGACAGCCTTCAAAGAACTTGAAGTCTAGAGAAGAATTCAGCAATGCAAATAAAACAAGGAAAAATTGAGCATGATTTTTATGTAAGAACAAATTGTGACTAGAACAGAATAAAAACTAGATATAGATATATCCATACAGACACTTGGGATTTATGAAAAAAAGGGCACTGAACTCAGTGCAGTAGGAAAAGGAGGGTCTTTTAAGCAATGGTGGTGGTTCAACTGGAATTTTGGACTCTTCTACACAATACACACACACACACACATCAATTTTACATTGATGGTATATACAAATGCTGAAGGCAAAACAAAACAAAAGTTTCTAAAGTTGCCATGTAGTATCTTCATTAATTTGGGGTAAACAGAGATTTCTTAAAAAGGAAACTAAAAGATACTAACCATAAATAAGATCGATACATTGGATTAACATAAAATAAGGAACTTCTATTAATCTAAAGACACCAGTAAGAGAGTAAAAAGATAAGCAGGGATGTAGAAAAAGATATTCAAACTATATCTACCCAACAAAGAACTAATGTAGATATTACATAAAGAAACTTTCCATTCTGAAAACAGACATATCAATTAAAAACATCAGCAAGGGACATGAATGGTTACTTTACAAAAAAAAAAAGATATTCAAATGGCAAAGAAACATTAAAAAGATGTTCTATGTCTGATGAGTCATCAGGAAAATTCTAAATAAAACCAACATTTTTCATAACTACATACTCACTTGAATAGCTAAACGTAAAAATATTGACAATCGCAAATATTGATGAGAACACAAAGCAACTGAGATCCTTATACTCAGATAGTGGAAACCAAAATTGGCAAAACTGTAGGGCATTACCTTGTCATGGCATAGAATAAAGCTGAATAGGCACATCCCATATAATTTATCAATTCCACTCCTAAAGATATTACCCAATAGAAATACCTTCTACGTATAGCAAAAGATAAGTACAAGAATAAAAGAGTATTCTATACATTATTCCTAATCCAAACTGGAAACAACCCATATGATCATCAACAGCAGAATGGTTAAATAAATTTTGGTGTTTTACTACCCTAAATATTATATATCAAGAAAAATAAACAGACTATTGGTATATATAAAACAGCATGGAAGAATCTCACAAACACAGTATTTAATAAAAGAAGCCAGAAATAAATGGGTAGATACTGTATAATTTCATTTCAAAGTTCAAGAACAGGCAAAACTAATATATGGGTTAGAAGTCAGAGAATGGCTACCTCTTTGGAACAATGATTTGTGCACAAATTAGTATGTTACATTTCAACCACAATTCCACTTAAAATTATTTTTAAAATAAACAGTCCAACAACATCAACAATAGAATCAACAATATGTCTGAGATAACAGTAGGCTAAGTCACAGTGTGATTTACTCTTCAGGGTAAAGGGTGAGGAAAGGGTTGTGAAAGACTACAGAATATGAAGGGTGCACCTGGGCGCCTGGGTGGCTCAGTTGGTTAAAAATCTGCCTTCAGCTCAGGTCACGATCCCAGGGTCCTGGGATGGAGCCCCACATCAGGCTCCTTGCTCAGCAGGGAGCTGGCTTCTCCCTCTGTCTGCTGCTCCCTCTGCTTGTGCTCTCTCTCTCTCTCTCTCTGTCTGACAAATAAATAAGTAAAATCTTTAGAGATATATATAAAGGGTACAGATGTCACAAATTCAAAACATCTAGGAGAGACAGGCAGGTAAGGCAAAAGAATGAACTAGAATGGATTTCACAACAGCAGCATGAACACAAACATAGGAGGAAGTGGCATTCTGCTTCAGTGTCAGAAAGTATACAAGGAAAGATGAATTCTGAGAACCAGAGGCATATGTCTTCTCTCGAGGAAACAACTACTAATCAGCTCCTGGAAACCATTGTCTTTTTTTGCATGCTGACACAGTTTGTAGATATTCCAGTTCTTCAGAAACGTTAAGGTTGCGCCTTTACAGTTTAGTTTTATTTTATTTGGAATATATATACCACTACACATTTTATGCTGAGTGAGGGAAAATTTATCTTTAATATAGATATGTCCCAGAGTATGTGGCTTCTGGTAAATACTGCAATAGTTCAGGTTGATCTTGTCTAGCTCTGTGTCTGTGTCTGGCACAGGATGGTTTAAGACATAGGGAATAAAATAGTTGCTGAATAAATCAGCAATTACTAAATGAAGTTGGACTGTGTTTTTAAAGCTGAGGGCAAATTTTCAGGGTAGGTTGATCAGAGGCGCGTGCAGGCCTTGATGAAGACACATGTCAAAGGGCAGATAATTATAAAACGCTGTGTGTTCAAGGACCTACATGTAAGTTAGAATTGTAGAGGTTAGTGTTGGCAACATTGGCAAAGGGACAGAGCTGGAGAGGTGGGATGGAAGAAGACAATGATGGAAAACAGATGCCATGGTCAGGGGTTGGCTTTGTTATTATATGGGAATCGAGCATAGGAAGCCACCAAAGGCTTACATGGGAAGGAAACATGGTTCAGTTTGCAATTAGAAAGGAGATTTTGGTGGAAGTATGTTCACTGGATGAGAGATAAGGAAAACGTTCCTAATCTTGCCTTCTCAAAGTCACTTCCACAAAGGGCTTTTTGGGTCTCTGAAGTACCTAGGATCAGAGATCTAGAAAGAAGCTTGAGGAACAAACCATCAAGCTATTCCACTACCGTGAGATAAGACATATGGTTGCGGATCCCATATCCTGTTCACTTATCTTGCAAGCAGTTGAGGTTGGTCATTTCTGTGTTCAAATGAAATAATGAAAGACAAACTGAAGAACCAGATTCTTAATTCTGACTTAATCTCATTTATTACAACATGAACCAAATAAATTCTTCCCACACCTGAGTGACATTGAACAGCATTGTAAATCAAATAATTTTATGCCAAGGAGAGACGCAAAAAAGATAAAAATAGGAAAGGAGCAGCTCAAATTACATCTCAGGCAGAGTAAAAGCAAGTAAAGGAACTACTAGGAAAGAAGCACAAGTCCACAGAGTTTGAATTTTTGTCCTGGATCCTTGGCGTGATTATTAACTGGAACAAGGAAGCTACTGGCCTCCCAGTGCAGAGCAAGATGGACGGCAAGTACTGAACACGTGGCTCAGAGGCTGGCATCCAGCGAAAACAGGATGCAGAGGTCTGAGGCTGCTGGGCACAATGCTCAGTGGTTGAGGACCACAGGGCAAAAAACCCACAGGGCGGCATCCATAAGTGAGGAGACTCAGGGGTCGGCTGCTGCTGGACACATAGCTCAGAGGTCTATAGAATATGGGGAGGCAGGAGCCAGAGATATAAGAAGCAGCAGGAAGAAAAGAAGTTCCATGGCAGGGTCTGGACACGTAGTAAGTAGTAGAAGGGCAGCAAGATGTTTCACAGTTGCTGGGATCACAGTGGGCTGGCTGGCGACTGGTTGGTTCACTGCAGCTCTCTTGGCAGTTGTCCAGAGGCTGGAGATGGTCTTGACAGTTACTAGGCAAGCAGAGGACATCACCACAGCTCATACCCGTAGAGCAGAGGGCAATGGAGGAGGTGAGAGGAATATGGCAGGGACTTCTGAGGGATCCCAAGCTATAGTTTGCAGAGCAGTTGTGGCAAGACATAGTGAGGTTTCAAAAGCAGGCTGCAGTTGAAGGGGAAGAAGCGAGTGTCTCTCCTCATTTGGCTTGAACCCTTATATATCCCTAGAAGGTGGTGATTGTGTATACAGACTCTTCCTCCTTGTAGGAAGCTGGATCAGAACTCTCCATTATAGCCCCGGAAGTGGTGCTCCCATGTCCCATAAACCTGGATGTTCCCTCCATTGATTGAGTATATCTATAAGGAAGTGTGACTGAATTTTAATAGGATCTCTCCTTCTTAAATTATCCAATGAAAACAGACAGGTTTGAAGGTCATTCACATAATCCAAATATAACCACCACTACATAAACATTCTTAGAATTCCTCTCTTGGAATTGCTTTTAAAAGTTGTAGCAAAACTCTTTGGAGGAAAAAAAAATTGTAGTAAAATTCTTTGAAACAGTGGCAAATTAGCTCTCTTTGAGGGGAAATTCTATTCTTTTTTGAAATTGTCAATAGTAAGAAACTTGAAAAGCAAGTATGTTGTAAAAGAATGTGAAAATTTATTTTTTATTTATTTTATTTTATTATGTTATGTTAGTAAAAAAAAAAGAATGTGAAAAATTCTATAACCTATATGATTTGGGACAGAAAAAGTTTAAAAACAGTATAATATGAAAAATTTCAATGTGCCTAAATGTGTGTGTTGCTTTATTTTGGAATCCTGGTAGAAAATGACTTCCCACCAAAATATTTTTATTTTAAAAAAGCCATACTCATTTTATTCATTTCAATAAACAGAGTCATGATGAAAGCTTGGTTTATGTTTAAAGTATTCTTAATATAGATTAATAAGATGGGCTCAGGTAAAAATATGGATACTACTGTGAACAAAAGCAAATAAGCAAAACCCCTCAAAGAAAGCTGAACAGCATGACATTTTTTAATAGCTAGTACGGTTTATATATTTCATGCTTACTTGTGTTCCAACCAAAAACTAATGTTCTTGGTAAAAAAAAAAAAATAGAAATAATGATTAAGACCTGGAAATGGGTTTGGTTTTTCTTCTTACATTGGTTCTGATGTCAATTTCCAAAAAATAGCTCCTAAACTACTTTAAATGGGAAATAGCATCAGAATAAATGTACAGTTTTTCTAAGCGTTAGTACTTTGAAAGCTATTTGGGGATATACTTTCCGGTAAAAATTGGTTTAAAAATGCTTCAATGTGTTTAGCTCATCCATTCCACTGTATTTTTATATCCCAGAATATCTAGTGGTTCCAGTGGGAATTTTAATTACCTTGCTGGATCTACTTTCCAATTCCCTTTAGCTAAAAATTCAGTGTAAATCACAATAGTTTCTTCCATTTTAATGTTCAATGGATACACCCACACTTAATAAGTCTCCCTCTGTCTAGGAGGAGATGGGGGGCGCCAAATCTCTGAAACAGAAGATTAGTTTCTCTATGAGCCAATACAGGACTATTTTACCACCAGGGATAGAAATATGAAAAGAAAATGGTATAGTCTCAGAGGTCCTCTACTAACATGTTGAACTTATCTTAGTATTTTAGGTCAGAGAATATTACCCTTTGATGATTTGTACCTGAGGAGTTTGAAGAATTCCTCCAAACCCAATCTCCACCTTTCTGGCTTTCATCACCTGATACACTCTGTACACATTGTTAGAGTCTTCTTGTGAAATCCTGGATGCATCAGCCGAATGGCGTTAGTAATAGGTGCAGCCACCATATTTAACTGAATGCTTATCACATTTATGTGTTGATCTTCTCTATGTCTGTTCTTCTCTAAAATAAGCAAGAGCTGAACACCCGTATCATTAGTACATCAGTATATTTGTGTTTATACATGTTCACGTATTATTTATGTTGTATGTATATATGAACATTTTTCCATGAAGAGAAGGGGTGTGGAATAAGAAGAAACTAGCATTGATTTACTGTCTCTGCTGGGCAAGCCTTGTAGTGTGGATACCCACATGTGTCACATCACTTTATCCTTGCAATGCCTTACAGTCAATTTTACTATTTCAAGTATTCATATGAGAAAACTTGAAATGTAGAAAGTTACAGTAATTGATATGAAAGACATTTGAACAAAGGGTGTTCAAACATTTGAACATTTGTTTGGGGGTCCTTGACCCCGAAATGTTTTTTCTTATTATCCAATATGGCATTATTTAGAAATATATTAATAGCATCATTTATGAATTATCTTCAATTAGCACAATCGCTCTGATTCCCAGTTCACTATGGGTATGATTTCATGGAATTATTGGAATCTTAATAATAATCTGTTTTTCAGTCTCATTTTTAGGATGCATTGAGATATAATAAAAACTTAAAAAGTAAACTGCAAGACACTATACTAGATTAATTTATTTTCTTGCTTTGGTATTCTTAACTCATTCCAAAAAGTACCACCTTGAGTCTAATTAGTTTAGAGCACTACCACAGACTCCAAATTTTTTTCTCTTATGGGTAGGTAACACTGCAAAAATATTCATGACATCTTAGAAAATAGGATACCCTGAATGTAGGTTGAACCTTAATATAGCGAATGTTGAACTGATGTTATTTGATAGTGACCGTAGCGTTCATGCGGACATAACAGCAGGTATCTCATTAACAGGCTCCTATAAACTATAAACAGGTTTCACGCTCTTCTTCTAAAGCAAAAGTTCAGGAATAGATTGAGGAATTAGGCATCCTGTGTGCTCCTTCAGATTTACCCATTTTGTTGTTTTTCTTCAAAGAACCAGGGGTCCTTACCTTTCTTACTCTACAGGAACAGCCCTGAATCTCTCTCTCTCTCTCTCTCTCTCTCTCTCTCTCTCGGACACAAAGAATCCTTAGAGCATTGCAACAATATAGTTAAGCTGGTAAATGGCTATTCTGCATTCATTTAGTCAACAAATATTTATTAAGCATTTTCTATGTGCTAAACATTATGACAGATACTGTCAGTAATACCAACATACTACTGATTTTTGCTCCCAAACACACCCAGTCTTGTAGAAGTGATAAGACAGGCACCCAATCCATGTCAGTGTTTACTAAGTTCTATAAATGGCATCCAGAGAAGGGCAAACATTGCTCATTGGCTTTACCTAGAGTTTGCAGTTGATACTCATTTTGGACTGTGGGAGGAGATGTCAAGGGGCTCAGGAAGGGGAAGACATTTCAGGCTATATGGTGGCAAATGGTATAAAGGTGGGAAAAAATGACCACACGGTGCTTTCAGTGGAGGATTTTTGAGGCAAATCGTAGCAACTAAACTTAGATTCACATGCTGAATCTAATTTAAGCACCAAAGAAGCAGTTAAGATATTGTTCTACAGGCATGGTGCTCTAGTAACTGATTTTGAGAAGAGAGTGCTATGATTAAATTGCAGACTATATTGGAAAGAGGGAAAATCTATTGTAATGCTTTTCTCTCTTGTTCCACTAAAATTATATCTTTTCATCCATTTCCCTTCCTGTTATCACTGTCATCACTCAAGTTGGGTTTTGTTCCCCTTTGGTGAATACATACATTTCCTACTGCCAACTTGACTCATAATCGCTATTGTCTTCTCTTTAGCTTGAATACTGTATTCAGATTAATACTCCTCAAATTAATTTCATCATATGACTTTCTTAGTTAAGAACATCAATGACTTCTTTTTGTCCAAAGAGAATTGTCCAAACACTTGATCAGCCCTCCTCTGCTTCCCCGAAGGGATTCTCTTCTGTATTTTGGGGTTGTCAGTTCATGTAACTCCATATCCCTCTTCATTTCACATCACTTCCTCATCCATACTACCCTTCCTCTCCTTTGCAATAATTCTTTGATTTTATCCATCATCCAGACCTCAGCTAAATTAGCCCCTCCTTGAGACCCCTGGGTAGTTCAGCTGGTTAAGCATCTGCCTTCAGCTCAGCTCATGATCCCAGGGTCCTGGGATCAAGACCCGCATTGAGCTCTTTGCTCAGCAGGGAGCCTGCTTCTCCCTCTGCCTCTGCTGCTCCGCCTGCTTTTGTTCTCTCTCCCTCTGTGTGTGTGACAAATAAATAAATAAAATCTTTTAAAATAAATAAATAAATTAGCCCCTTCTTTGTAAATACCTTCTTATCAATATAAAACTCTCTGGTCTTAAATCTATATGGCTATCATTATCTAATGCACACACACACACACATTCCTTTACATTGCAAGCAAAACATTCTTTCTGTATGTGCTGTAGAGTCTTGTATTTTGACTACATTACAGAATCCTTATTAGCTACTATTTACAGAGTCCTTATTATATACCAGATATGATTCTATGTGTTTTACACGTACTTACTGATTTAATCCTCACAACATTCTTTTCTATTTGAGTAGGTGTGCTCATTATTCTTAATACATGTGACGACACTTAGTCAATCCTTAATAAATATTTGCTGACTAACATCATAGCATTCACAAAATATAACTTAGGCTTTCTTTATCAAATAAAAGTTGACCTTTAGTCAACTCAAAAATCTCTTTTATATACTTTTCTTACCATCCATCCATTTTCACCAGGGTAAGTCAACTTTCAAGGAATATAAAAGACTATGAAGGTAGAAAAAGATTCAGGGAATCGGAAACCCTTCGTCAGTTTTTCTCCTGCCCCTTCTATGATCCCTGATTAATATTCATCTTAGCTTAGCTTAGAGAAGACAACGCGTTATCTGGTGTCAGTCCACTTCAACCTACAACATAAGGAAGTGGTCTGATTATAGCACCCTCTGTTGGATGCCATGTGTAAAATCATTAAATTATAATCAATTGGAAGAATAAAGTTAATTCACTGATCAGCAATGTAGAGTCTTGGGTAACTAATAAAGCTGTAATCTACTTACAACTGAATTTTTATATATTATAACATTCTTGAGTGTGGAAACTATGGTTTACACATGATTTGAACAAAATTTGCTCCATTCATTCCCAATTCATTCATATAAGAATTTCCCTTAGATGATGTTAGAAAACTGTTTTCTAGTAGTGCATCCTC